TGAACGCACTAGGCTTACTCCACTGGCCATGACTAAGGCCAAATTGCATGCAGATGCAGAGATTTCCCAAGTCGATAAATTGCAACATATGCAATTTATCTAATTAGCTGCTTTGAAGTTGACTTAAATTTGTCTTCCTTCCTCCACTGAGTCAGGACATGCTGCAGTGGTCCCAGCTTGACACTCTCCTGTTCTGTTCTCAGCAACAGTCTTTGCAGCTGGCTGCCCGTTTGAAAACACTCTGCACAGATGGTGATTTGAGATCAGAGTGTGGCATTTGCACAGTTTTTGCAAGACACGAAATACCATTTCGGCCAAATAAAAATGTCCAACGAGGCGAATTCTATTTTAAACTTACCTTTGTAGACAAATATACATTTTTCTTCATGTTTGACTATGAAAGCTCTAATGTTCAAAGCTGCGGTGAAACATAATTATCTGATAGTCATATATGGATGCACATAGTTCACACGTAGGGCCAGTAACTCCTCAATGAATTTCATGTTTGGTGAAAAGTGATGGTAGAAGCTGCGCGGAGAGTGAAAATAGAGAGCTTGAAAGACAAGTTCACATCCTGCCTACATTTCCCCCTCCACGTCTATCATTGAGTGAGCTGACCACGCTTGTTAGATTGTTGGTTTCAGAGAGGCTGCGAATGGGAAACGTGTAGGTGTCGAAGGTTTCAGATGCTGTTCGATGATCCGGCAGGCACTGCATTTGAAGCATACTGACTCCTTTATGTTCAGCAGTTGCTCTGGGCAAACCTTGAGCTATACAACAGCAATCAATAGGTCAATGCTGTGACAGGGTGAAGGATGAATGTCAGGGGTCAGCCATCAAAAACAATCACGGCTGACTGAGCCAACTTCATTTCAACACGGAGCCGGTGAATGGACTATTTTAACGATGCTCTATTAGTCTGGTCTTAACTTTGATATCCCATCTGTTTGCTCCCACTGCTTTACGAGGGCTTTGTTTTGATTCACACTCAAATAATATCTCACTCCCTCATCTACACAACTATTGGTTCTCACTGACATATATCCATTATGGTTATATAACATCCATATTAAAGGGAAAGTGTCTTAACATGTTAAATATAAGATCACCAGATCCAGCTGCCACCCATGACATGCATCCAACTAAATTGATAATAATAGTGAGTTCTCTGTGACTACCTGAGTCCTTGATATGTAAAACCTTTATTCTCCACAAAGAGAATCAAATGCCTGCTGTCCTTCCTGTCGTCATTGACGCGATTCCACTCCCGTGTTCAATCTGGGGCTGATTCCACTGGCTGCTCTTAGTGGTTAATGAAGATAGCAGGGGGGTTGGGGGTGTGTGTGTGTGTTTGTTTGTGTTTCAGCTGAGCCACACTGGGCTTAACATGACTTTGGGTCAACTCAAGGTTTGGTGTCTTTGTGTCTGCTCAGTGGCAGACATGACTACTGGTCTGAATGACAGATTAAAGCTGCTAACTGAGCCGGGAATTAGAGGTAGGGGGTACATTGTGTGTGAGTGTGTATTTAAAAAAAAAGAGAGAGAGAGAGCTAGAAAAAAGCTGACTGATAATAAACAATGAAACATTGGCATCTTGACTAACTGCCAATGTTGCATATGTTGCCATCCGACGCATGTTGTGGAAGAAGAGCTTACAATTAATAACTGTTTTTTTTTCTTATTAGCTACAATGCTTAGGCAGGAACTCAACTAAGAAATATACCATCTCTGCCTCACTTACATCTAGAATGATCTCTACATGAGTGCGAGCATGCTGGGTAAACATCTAATACATTTAACTTGATTTACCAAAGCAATTAGATGATAGAAAATGAAATTACAGCCTCAGTATAGAAGAAACTAAATAACAGTCAAGCAGAGAGGACTGCAGTCAACATGTTGCTCTATTTTCACCGCAGCTTGTAGTCAGCTTAATGACACATTATACCAGATGCATGGAAAACTTCCCATATGACCTTATAGCTCGCTCTTACATATTCAGAAAAGAGCACAAAGCCCTTCATAACATTAGCAAATCAAGCCTTAAATTGATTAAGTCTTTAAAGAGGAAAGAATCAACACTGAGACCGAATGTAACTGTGCAATTACATTGATCAGTGGACGAGGAGCCTGAAGGATGTGTAATAAACACAACTAAACATTTGTTCCCATTGAGCCGTTGCAGGTGCTATATTGGAGTGAAGTGAACAAAGGTGCTATAAGTCCAACTTTCAGGTTTTGTGCCAAACAGTCTCGTGCACATTAGCCGATGAGGCGCATTGTTCAAACAACAAAACACCCCTCTGCTCTCCTCTAGTGTAATTCTGCCCTTCATGTTACAGGACATCACCATTTAAGTTACTAAATTACCATAACTAGAGAGAATTTAGATATTGTAGCGATGCAGTAATTTTCTGATGACATATCAATGTTCTCCACATTCACTTAATGATTTATAGAGTTTTCAAGCTAAAACTTTCAACTAATTGACTTTCCAGATGAGTAGTGTTATTGGTGTTTTATCATGAAAAGTAACCTGAACAGTCTCTAAATCATCCTGACTGTACAGTCACAGTTTCCACTCCCCCTCTATTTGTCATTTTTTCCAAATTATTCTTAGCGGAATTTTAAATTAGCGTGACACCGGTGATTAAGGAGAGGGGACAGGCTTCTTTTACTTGTTTCTCGTCTTCAGAGTCACGCAGATAACAAATCAGTAGCCGAAGACATTTTTTTTCCGCAGCCCAAACATCAGTAACACATTATGTTAGACATTTCAAAACACCTCTCATCTGACTGCCAGTAAGATGTTTTTATGATGTTCTGGTTAAGAATCAATTTAGCATGAGTTTTTTTAAACCATTACATACGGGTTAACCTTAACCTGTCTTCATTAGACAGCCTCCTGAGAAAGGGGGGAAAAAGCAGCTGTTTGAAGCTGAAGTAATTTACCTGATGGGAAAAACATTTTCAGCTAAAAATTAATCTGTGCTGCTTCATGTCTCACTCTAATTTGCTGCAGATGCAAAAATAATAAACTTTTCAGCAAAAGTGAAAATATTATTTCACACATAGTTACATTTCTCTCAGTTCATCAATGGCATGTTTTGCATATGCATATATACTTATTAACAATTTCTCCTTCTGTTCTGGCAAACTGAGTTCGTGGATAAATCAGCACAGTGGTTGCAGCAATAGCTATCGCGTCTTTAAAGCAGATGAGCCTGATGAGTCTGTGTCAGGGCAAATTGTTGGATGCCACCAAATGTGGCATCAAAAGTAAAATACTACCATTTGGGCTTTTCTTTGAAGATATCAGCAGTTTTATTAATGAGGGAGCAAACAAAGCTACCATGTCACACATACCGCAGGGTTCCTACCAGAAGAAGATGTTACCAGAGTCATTTTGATTGCCTCAAATGATATTCCTGCTGAGGTGATCAACCACACACAGCCTGATTGGATATTTCACAGGGTGCTGCTGCTAATTTACAAGGTGGAGTGTTGCCACTGTTTAGTACGCTGGTATAAATATCCATGTTTAATACTGTGAGTCAGTACTCTTTGGTCTGCAGCTTTCCAACAGGCCCTCTGGCTGTTTCTGTATTCTGCTTTTAACAGTGCCAGTGTCCTCTTTTTTCTCTCACAAAATATTAACTTAAAAATAAGTGGTTGATCATCCTGTTGACACTGATGCATTTGTGCCACTTTTATTTAGCTAACGCGATCAAAAGACCATTAATTAAGCATTAAAAATGAGGTGAGATTTCACAGGACAGCAGCTGTGGGAAACTAAATCCATTATAGGGCAAATATTCTCTAATTCTGAAAGAGTATAAAAAGAGTAATGACAACAGTTTATCAATAACCTGAGTCCAAACTGGGGTTGTATGTTTTGTATCAAATCCTGTAGAGGCTTTTGTGATGACAGAGTTAACCAGGCGTTGGTGCACGTGTGTTGGGCTTGCGATTTAACTGTCAAGATATTCATCTACTTGGACGTGTCACCCAGATCGTTGTCAGTTATTAATATTTGATTTTATTTGACATCACTATAAATTGGGAGTATACCGTAATGATGATTAAGTAGGACTAACACATGAGCGAAAAATTAACACTCACTTCAATTAACCTAAGTTTAATTTGCTGCTTAATTCAGTTTACACTGACATTCAATTTGGTTTTGGAAGACAATGTCTCTGGTTAATCATTTCGATAATTTGATGGTTACTTTAATTACAAAAACAATTGGAATTTAAAACATGACAGCATGTTTTATAAGCTAATAGTCTGTGTGTTCAGATGGTGATTGTGGGTAAAAGTAAAATGAATTGTTTTTTTCCCTCCACTGAGCTTCTGAAATCGTTGAAGTCGTGATTTACCTTTTTTGTTTTCTACCATTGTAGAGCTTTATATTCACAAGACTAAGCAAAAGATCAATGCCAGTTATATTACTGGAGAGCTAATAAAGGACTTCCAAAATTCTTTTTGACAGATTATGCAAAAGCATAGCAAATAATGCAGTTACAATGTGCGCCATAGAAAGTGTATTGCTGACACTGCTTATGTGCAAATTCACTTTAGGGGAAGTAACGTTGTGAACGAGGGTGATTTTCAGCAGTTTTGGGGGCTGTTAGAGTTCACGCCTCCCTTATTATGAAGTCTCTGCTCATGTGTTTGGTGCTCCTGCATCCCAAACTGGAGGGATTTGTTGATAACTTTAATTACATAATTATTTAAAGTCTAAACTTTTTGTTATATCCTTCTCCCCTTTCTTTAGCTTGACCTGTAAGTAAACCCATCCCCCATTCCATCAAAGTCTCTCTACTCTCACTTTACACTTTTTTCCCTGTCTTGATCCATCCATTCCCTTTGTTCAACCTATTACATATTTATGCTTTTCCCTTTTCACGGGATGAAAAGAGGTAGAATCTATTGTAGGTCCTGTACCTCCTGCTATATCATTGCTCCTCCTTTCAGTCACTCATCCATCACCCTACCTCCTTGGAGGGGACCCTGGATCCCTTCCTTCGTGACCACCAGCTTTCCACCATGGCAATGAGACAGGAAAGCACCACGCCAGCAGCCAGGACGCAGAAAACGCCAGCAAAGCTGTGGATATCAAGGGCACTGCCACGCTGTCGTGTCTGGACTGAACTGTAGAGGTCACAGGGGCTGTCCTTGGGCCACCACTTGAGTTTTAGTATATCCATGTCACCGTTCTGCTGGAGTTCCAAGATTCTAGGATATAGGCAAGGAAGGCAGGCATGTTAGTCATAAAATTATCCATCCATACTTTAAATAAGTACTTCAAAATCTCTGTTTAGGCATATTCAAATTTCTGGCAAATGGAAAATGTCAACACACACAAAGTTCATGTAAAAAAAAGAAAAGGAAATGTTCAGCAAGCCAGCAGCTACACAGAATTAGACTAATTAAGTAACTGATGGTATCTGAGCGACTTTTTAATGATTAAAGAGTGCAATCAAACACACAGAATGTTTGCATGTCACACAACCTGGCGACACTGCAGCGTTTCCTGCAGCTGCTGTAACTCCTCTCTTCCATTTGAGGGCAGTGTTTGCCAATTGAAATTCGCCCTGATCCCTGACAACCATATTGGGCTGTCAAACTCATTATGGCTAACATTAATATGTTTTGCAGCACAGCGAGAGTACACTGCCACAATGTCATTATGCAGCCTAGCTTTAGTCTCACGATTGATGGCTTCAGAGAGGATACAGCTCAGAGGTTGATGGGGTCCCTCTGTTAGCCTTCAGCTTATTATTTAACTGGGTCGTTCATTTCAGTTTGGAGGAGAGCTGCAGACACACAAGCGTATAGATATTTAACAGGTAATCTGGCGAGGAGTAGAGAGGGGCACAGAAAAAGAGAAAGAGAGGAGTTTGGGAATATGCATATCCAGTACCTTACAGACACATACACACTAACACAGAAAACAAATAGATTCATCAAAGACAAACTAAGCCTCCACACTGACTGGCACCAGGATTGTGGATGCACAACCAGGCGTGCACAAAGGTCGCACATTTGACTGCCACGCATGTTCAAACTGATTCGGGATTCATACATGTGCACATCAAGACAGATGCTTGCAATTATCTGCAGAACTTCCTGAGGGCAAACGCCTTTCTTGCAATTTCAATGGTCACACAAACGTCAGTGCCCATCTCCCCTCTTCGTTTTTTTCATCACACAAAACGGACAGAAATCAATCAAGAAATGCAAATGAGCACCGCAGTTAGTTTACATAATTAATTTCATTCACAATACCTAAAAAAAACAAAAACCCAAACAACATAGATCATTTAGATGTAAATCAGGTAAACATGCACGGCACGTCGCGTTATAGCAACGCCACTCTCATTTAGGGATGTTTTCTATGCTGGTGGGAATGCGTGGCACTGTACAGTTGCAATGGCAGCTATGACTGAAATTGATGGGGTGAAAAAAAAGGAAGGAAGAGAAATGAAGAGGAGAGGAAGAAAATAAGACAACAACAAACTAATTTGAACAGCAAATCCACCGACAGTCACTCGAATGAGAGATCATGTCCGTCAACTGTCGACTTGATTGTGCAATTGTTCGGCTCAAATCAGCGCAGATTAGTGCCATGATTAGATAAGACTTTGATAGTAATGATGCGGATTAGTCACTCAAATCGAACCGATCTGCATTGATAGCCATTATAGTAAACAGACACTACTGGCCTAGTCACGTCCTGGTTGTAAAACTCTCTCATCACATATCAACCGTGCATTTGTTTTCTTCTTGGTAACACAGCCTGCTCTGCTTCTTTTCCTTTCAAACATGTTATTAAACTACTTTTAGACTATGATATTGTATAACACAGGACTCCCAAATTGCTTCATGCTTGACCACTCCCTGCCCCCTTCTGAGTTAGACTCCTGATTGCTGAAGGAGCAATAGCCCCAAAACACTTCACTGTTGCATGCAGGGCGCACTGCTGAACTGCAAGTTAGCATGCCTAAGATTAGGTTGTTGAACCGAGCCCTTGTTTTGATTATTTTATTATTATTTTTTGTTTATTACACACATGGTCACACAGGAAAGAGATGCAGCAGATGCCAACTTTAAACAGGATCAGAACATCAGGACAGAAAAGCAAATATACAACAGAAAAAAGGCGACCTGAGTAAACACAAAATGTGAGTTTTAGATTATAATAATTACATCTATCGATGCCAAAAGGCAAGTGTGAAAAACCAATCGGCCCTTGAAAGTAATAACTAGTTCAATCAGACAGTTTACTTTTGAAATGATTCATTTCTGCATGAGAACATAGTTGCAGGTTAGTGACAACGTCACTGCCAGGAAACATGGAGGACATACAAATTGGTGGCTGATGAGAAATTATTTCCAAGTGCCTACAGGCAGATTCTGTGGTGGAGAAGGGGTTGAAAGAGCCGACAGAGGCATTGTCTAGTCACAGGGATGGATGGGAATACACACAGCCTAAAGAAAATGCTAAATTGGGAGTATATGCTTGGTATATTACATAAACAGAGTGAGGCACGTTACGTGGTTGTGATGCAGCACAGCTCGACTTGTCTTGCCTGAACTGACTTGCAGGCTTTGTTCCATTTGTGGCACCTTTAACAGCAACAACTGCAGCTGAATACTGTCGGACATTGTTGGTGGGTTTGGGGCCCACTCTTCTCATAGTTCTGCAGCACAGGTTTGTGAAAATGAAAGGCTCTTTTGAGGTTACACCACAGCATTTCGCTGGGGTTCAATTCTAGACCTTAAGCCACCCCCAAGCGTTAATTTTATTCCCAACTCAGTCAGAGGTGGACTTGCTCTCATGCTTGTGATCATTGTCTTGCTGCATAACTGATTTGCGCTTGAGCGTTAACTCGCCCACTGATGATCTGATGTTATCCTTGAGGATTTTCTGCCAGAGAGCCAAATTCATGTTTCCCTCAATTATGGAGAGTTGCCCTGGCCCTGAAGCAGTTACTCCTACCTCTGTGTATGTCTGTAAGTATAATGCGATTTTTATTTGTATAAATTTCTGTGTAGTCTGTGGTGTACAGCATATGTAGCAGGGGCTCCTGTCTTCTAAGTACTTCACCTCAGAAAATTCTCCCAAAACATATCAGACAAGCCTTCATTTTTTTCTGGGATTGAAGTGGTGTTCAATTCACCACTCTGTCATTTTGCCCAGTGTCTGTTGGATAGTGGAAACATGAACACTGAGATTTACTGAGGTGAGAGAGGCCTGTGCTTGCTTGGATGTTTTCCTTGTATCTTTTTAGACTTCCTGGATGAGGCACCGTGGCGCTTTTGGAGGAAGGCTGGCCACTTCTCAGAAGGCTAACTATTGCTCCAAGTTTTCTCAGCTTTTGAATAATCTCTCACACTGTGCACCATTGGAGTCCAAAAGTCTCAGACATATTTTTGAAAGCATTCCAGAAGATGTGTTTCAGACATCTTCTTCCCTGTGTCTGGTGGATTTTTATTTGTTTTTTGTTTATTTGGTGTTGGTGTGCTACAGGTGGGACCATTTAGCATACACCATGCTTCTGAAAATTGTCTAATTAACTAATGAAGAGGGCTGGTAGTAATCAGGCCTGGATTTGTCCAGTTGAGCAGCAACCAGTTATCAATGCAGTGCCAAATTAATTTTCTTTTGGGAAAAAAAAGTGAGTGAAAGTAACATTTCTGCTTCAAATTTAAAACTTGTATTTTGTACTTACCAGGTTGGGTATGTTTAGGCTAGATGTAGTTGGAGTCATATAGGAGAAGACAGAGAAAAAGAATAAGAGGAGGCTACTTCTGGATTCTCCCTTGGGTCGTCACAGCAGGTAGCTCTGCATGTTTGTCATATTTTACACTGGATGCCCTTCTGAATGCAACCACAAAGGGGATTATAGGGGTTATATATTGATGTATATTTAATGACAAATGGAGTGATATTGTGCACTTTTAACTGTAGCTATAGGTATAATAAGTCAGCCAGTTATTCAACAACATATCACTCCTAAATATTTGTTGTTGTGGTTTCAGATATGGATTCACTTTTGTTCCATGAAGATGAGGGTTTTACTGCGAAAAGCTTTTTGTGTGCGCTGGAACTTGACAGTTATCCCTCAATGCCACAACGAGTCAGGACTCTTTCACTGTGATATTTTTTATTTAATGGACAGATTATCTGAGGCAAAGCCATTTGGGCAGTTAAACATTGTTTTATGAATGAGAACCTTATGAAAGTGTCAAGACCTACATCATATTTTTGGAAAATTTGACAGCGGTATGCTGTCACTCATATTATGCCCATTGCTTTTAAAGTCTTATTGATTGTGGGAAGGACATACTGTTAGGATGCCTGGGTCGTCGACCCAGGGTTTTTGAGTTTACGATATTATTTATACTGTCTAGTTTTTGGTTTCTTTAAGTTCTGTCTTATGGCTTAGGTCTCTGTCTTCTTTAGTTGCTCTGTCTCCCCTATCACCTGCATCCCCTTGTCTAGTTCGCGTCTATGTGTATCCTAAGTTCCTATATCCCCGTGTTCAGTCAGTGTTTGTGTCTGCCCTGTTCCCACGTCTCTGTTCCCTTTGTAGTGCCTGCATATGAGTCTGTGTCTTTGTTCAGTCTGTGTTATGTGTTTCCTGTTTTACTTTGAAAGTCCATGTCTGATGTTAAGGTGTCTGGTTTTGCTTCCTCTTGTCTCGTTAGGCCTGATTTGCCCCAGCTGTGTTTCCCTCCTGTTACTCATTTCCTGATTGCTCCCTCTGTGTATTTAAGCCCTGTGTTTCTTAGTGTCTGTGTCGTGATCTACCGTTTACCAAGCTGTGTGTTCTGTCAGTCCGCTGGTATTAGTTTATTTTTTGGATCGTTTCCAGTTATGTTATATTTGAGTTTAACATTAAAACGGTTTTTTGAGTTTACATCTGTCTCTGGAGTCTGCACCTTGGGTCCTTTTCCTGTCTGCACACAGCCGCACCCAACACATACAGTCATGTGAAAAAAGAAAGCTTTCACAGGACTCAATGCAGTCCTACACCCTTACTGCTTCTATAGCAATTAAGAGGAAAGCAGCCAGGTGCTGATAATGAAACAAACTTAATTAACTGGACATCAGGAAGTGTGACCACCTCTGTAAAAGCAGAAGTTTTGGAGGTTTGCTTGTCTGGAGCATTCAGGTGTGTGTTAACACAATGCCACAACCTTCCTAACAAATTGACTCCAAGGTCATC